TGTAACCCCTAACCCCTCTCTCCCGGGTCCTCACTGCCACACCTCGTTCTTGTTCCGAGTGGGTCTCAAACCCAGGTCTCAGGCATGGGAGGCAGACACACTGAGGACCCGGGAGAGAGGGGTTACAGATACAATCATTGAAATTCTACTTCACAATATCACAATATCAATCATAATCTTTCCAAATTTATAAAATGGAATGTTTGTTAACATTTGCATAACTGAGAAAAACAAAGAACAAAACTCAGTTTGTTTTGAATATTCAGAGAACATTTAGAAATAATGTTTTTATAACTTAAGGGGAATGTTAAAATCATTCTTAAAACATATTTTTGTTAGCTGGGATCATGCCTAACACTTTAGAAAATGGTTTTGTTTTTACAAAAAGTATTAAAAGTATGAATTTCTATGCTTCATTAATTCACAAAAAATATTAAAAAGATGTATTTCTTTGATTTTATGAATCAATGTAGACTAACTTCTAAATAAAAAGTTAAACGTTTTTCTTCAAAAACTGAAAAATCATTGCCATCACATTAAACAATATCAAAACTTGTGATAAATGTTTTAACATAAGATAAGAACATATTAACAAGCACACTGTATAAAAATTGTTTTTCGAAGTTGATTACTGGAGTACATTTTAGAAAATACTTTCAATCATTCTAGTTCAAATTTCTTGTTTATTTCAATGTGTTCCTTGCTGTTTCTTTGTAATTGTTTGTGAAATTTACTAGCAATTTCTGAGTAAAATAATAATAAAAGAATCACTCTTATACTACTAACAAAATTTAATCTGAATCAAAACCTGTGATGTAAACGTCTCCGTCGTTCAATCTTAAAGCAAAACAGATTCATCCCGTCATCTTTGACTGACTCTGTCCTTTCTCAGAAGCAGATTCCATCAGAATGGAGAGTTGTTCCCAGTCTGTAAACGGTGACACCAAGGCTGAAGTGACCCATGACCTCACCGAGGATCTGAGTCAGCAGCTGGAGGACATTATCAGCACCTATCACGTGAGCGAACAGCCAGGTGAGGCCGAGGATGCTGAGGAAGAGGCCGTCCCAGACAAGAACAAAGACCAGAAAATGGAGAAGAAGATGCTTAAAGGCCTCGGTGAGTCACATGCAAGATATTAAACCCCATGTTACTCTATTTGAAATGTGATTAGTGAATACTTAACCACTTAATGCAATCAAACTGTGTAACCAAAGAAAACTGTGTCAATAATCACAGGGAAGGAAGCCATGCTGCTCATGCAGAGCCTGAATAAACTCGGAAGCCCTGAGCAGAAACTGGAGGCTTTCATTAAAAAACATGCTGAACTGGTGAGTACAGTCATCAACAATGTTCTGCCTTTGAAATATAAAATAAAAATAAATGACTGTTTTTAACAAGCTACCTCATTAAAAAAAAATAGTGAAATGAAAAAAAAAAAGGTAAATATTCACACATTCATTTGGAAAAATCAGCCCCTTTTTAATTATTTTTTTTGTTGTTGAAATTTTGTTAAAAATCTTTAATTTCAGTACAGTCCCATATTAAGCTGTCTTGTACATTTCCAATAAATCATCTTTAAAAATAAATAAATATATAATAAAATAACATTTACATTTCCAATAAATAATCTTAATAATTAAATAAATAAATATTATTTATTTATATAGTACATATAACTAACGTATTAAATACTATGCAGAAACTAGACTTATGTTTGTGACTTTAATATACTTTTAAGTATAATTTAAAGTATATTAAGCATATTAAAAAACAGAAAGACTTTGAATTCTTCTATGTAAAATATATTTTATTTCAGCACTGATTTGTTTAGGGTTGTCCTGTGTTAGGCTATCTCGTATTATACATTTCCAAATAATCATCTTAAAAAAAAAACAAGTAAGAAAGTGAATAAATAAATAAATAAATAACTGAGGCTCCCATAAAAAAACAAACAAACAAAAAACACTGAACTGGTAAAGACAATCATCAACAATGTTGAGTTGAAATGAACTTTTTTACCTTTGCAACGTTAAAAAATAAATTTAAATATTTAAATAATAGTAAAATAAAACAAACACATAAATAAAAGGAAATAGTAAAAAAAATATACAGTATATATTAAAAGTAATAAAAAAAAACTTTCCAGCTTGTTATATTGAGATGGTTTTCTTTACTGTATATACTGGTTTTATATTTCTGTAAATAAAAGAGATCATAATTATATTATGTGTACATGTAACCTGCAGTTGGAGGAGCACCGCTCGGACCAGAAACAGCTGAAGGTCCTGCAGAAGAAACTTCTCCAGGTGCTGAAGGAGAAGGATCAGCTTCAGAGCGAACACAGCCGAGCCGTTCTGGCCCGCAGCAAACTAGAAGGCCTGTGCAGAGAGCTGCAAAGACACAACAAAACACTAAAGGTGACAGTATCATCTCATGTCATCAATATGACTGTGTTAAAACATCTGAGTTTGCTTGAACCACTGATATCTGCTAATGAGCATGAATCAAAACCTGCTAGTCCATTTTGAAAAAGTTATTTTTACAGTAAATTTCTTAGCTTTTAAATATTCTATCAGACAAATAAAGTTTCAATGTTAATATTGGCATTGAAATTGCTTTTTTACGATGCTAAATCACAGTACACTGAAAAAATAACTGATTTGGATGGAAAAATGGATAATAAATAAAGTCACAAATAACTCCTAAAAAAATGGGAAGTAATACATTGAATTAAACATGAAATTTTGAAGTTGAAAGACTTCATACTCCAATAATAAAAAATTTTTTTACAGTGTAAAATGGTTTATATTTTGCCCTGTACAAACATAATAGAACTAAACATAAATTATGGCATTATGACAAAGTTATTTTTACTAAAACTATAAAACGTTGACACACAACTCCATATCCACCATCATGCTTTTGGTGCAGGAGGAAACTCTACAGCGGTGTCGTGAAGATGATCTGAAGCGGAAGGAAATCACCACACATTTCCAGAGCACTCTGACGGACATCCAGGCCCAGATCGAGGAGCACAACAGCCGAAACAACAAACTGTGCCAGGAGAACAGCGACCTGGCTGAGAAACTCAAGGACCTCATATCTAAATATGACCAGCGAGAGGCGGTAAGAGAAAACTACAGGACGTCACTCTGGTTTGACCTGAGATCATATCATTTGAATCTATCTATCTATCTATCTATCTGTCTATCTGTCTATTTGTATTTTCTATTTTCATTTCAATTTTAGTTCAAGTTTTAGTTATTTAAAAAAAAAAATGTTGTTATACATATATAGTATTAATATATTATAGAATAAACTTATTCTATAATAAAGAAGTTAAACTTAAATTTAAATTTGTCCAAAATGCAGATGAGTTTGTTTCTTCATTAGAACAGATTTGGAGACGATCCTCTGCAGTGAATGGGTGCCGTCAGAATGAGAGTCCAAACAGCTGATAAAAACATCACAATAATCCACAAGTAATCCACACCACTCCAGTCCATCAATAAACATCTTGTGAAGTGAAAAGCTGCACGTTTGTAAAAAACAAATCCATCATTAAGATGTTTTTAACTTCAAACCGAGTCCTCTATCCATAATATTGCTTTCTCCAGTCATCTGGTCTGAATTAGGAGAGAAATATGCACAGATAAAGCACAGTTTACAAGTGAAAATAGTTCTAAACACATATTTGGGTGGATTTTCATGTGAGAGGACAACAGGGGATGGACTTTTTCAGTGGAGGAAGCGTTATGGACTATAGACTCATATTTTTACGGGTTTAAGTTCAAATGTCTTAATGTATTTGTTTCTTACAAACATGCAGCTTTTGGCTTCTCAAGACGAAAGTCCATCTAACTGGTGGACTGGAGTGGTGTGGATTACTTGTGGATTATTGTGATGTTTTTATCAGCTGTTTGGACTCTCATTCTGACGGCACCCATTCACTGCAGAGCATCCATTGGTGAGCAAGTGATGCAATGCTAAATTTCTCATAATCTGTTCCCATGAAGAAACAAACTCATCTACATCTGGGATGGTATGAGGGTAAATTTTCAGCAAGTTTTTATTTTTGGGTGGACTAAATGTCATTATAAATAATTACATTTAAGGACTCATAGGTTGTGTTTTTGGCCTTCATGCAGAATCTTGAAAAAGTGTTCAAGCACAGAGACCTGCAGCAGAAATTATTGGAGACAAAACTCACACAGGCCAACATGATGCTCAAAGATGCTGAGGAGAGACACAAGCTGAAGAAGGAACATGTCAGTAAAACATCTAAAGATTTCACATAATAAAATATATTTTTATTGCACAAATTAACTTTCTGCTAATTTGAGTCCAGTGAAATATAAACAATGCGTTATTGCCAATGCCGTTATTGCCACTTTTGAAATAAGTGTTGTTTTCTGGGACTGGGACTGTTGTTCTACTTCCCATCTATATTTATTCTCCAGTTACTGAAGCATACTGCAGAGGCCAAAATACAGGTTAAAATCCTGAAAGAACAAGAGACTGACATAAAGGCTCAGGTAAATTTACATCAGATAATACACATCTCTATTGTTTTCTTAAATCATGTATGTTCAGAAATGAACACATTTCTTTTCTGTTAGCTTGCTGTATATTCTGAGAAGTTTGATGAATTCCAAGGAACGGTGTCTAAGAGCCACAATGTGTATGCCAGCTTCAAACAGGACATGGACAAGGTGTGTGTCTCTGAAATATTCAAATATTCTCTTCAAATCTTTTGATACCTTCCCCCGACATAGTCCCCCCCCCCCCCACCACCAAAAAAATATATGTATATATTATTGAAGCTTTTGCACATACTTTTCAGAAATGTGGTTAAGTCAAGTCCAATATGGCAATCTTTTCAAACATGTCGAAACTTATTTACAGTCTCACATTAAATGCATCAATGTTAAGTATGCTTTTGGTTATTAAAAGGGTCTTGGGGTCTCTCAGAACCTGAACAGAACATTAGGGTTAATTTCTAGCATGTTTAGTCAGGGTTATTATTGACAAGTAAGACTAAAACTATTAAAAACATTTTAGTTAACTGAAATAAATCTGAAAACAAACTGGCTGAAAATCTTAAACTAATTGAAAATGAGAAATGTTGCATTGGCAACTTTTAAGTTTAAATTGAAGTTTAAGATGAAGCACTAAAATTACTAAATGGAAATGTATAAAAACTAAAACTGAAATTAAAATAAAAATAAAACTGAAATAAAAATAAATTAAACCATAATAGTAATATTTAAAAATCAAATGACAAAAACATAACAAAATAACTAACTAACAAATAAATAAAGAAAGAAAGAAAGAAAGAAAGAAAGAAAGAAAGAAAGAGAAAAATCAAACCCTTTCTGTTAATTGAAAAAATTCTGAATTCTGTTAATTTAAATAAACAAACTGAAATAAATCTGAAATGATTTAGGTGAAAAACTTAAAACTAAACACAAATGTTGCCTAAGTTTAAGCTGAAGCACTAATATTACTAAATGGAAATGAATAAAAACTAAAACTAAACTATAACTGAATTAAAAATTTAATTAAACCTATAAACAACATATTTAAATTAAAAGCTAATTCAATATATTAATAAAAATTATGATAGTACATAAGAAATACTAAAAACAAACAAACAAACACTAAGCAGATTGCTGTCTGTCTGCTGTACATGGTAAGATGTTGATTTGTCTTACAGATGGCAAAGAAGATGAAAAAGTTGGAGAAGGAGGCAACGGCCTGGAAATCCCGTTTTGATGGCTGCAATAAAGCTCTCATTGATATGGTTGCAGATGTAAGTTGCTCAGTTCATATAGCATATATCAATATTGTAGAGTGGAGTGAACCATATCAGGTTCTCCAAAGAAACTTTTAGTAAACAGTTCTTAAAGGGGTCATATGATGCTGCTAAAATGAACATTATTTTGTGTATTTGGTGTAATGAAATGTGTTTATGCGGTTTAAGGTTCAAAAAACACATTATTTTCCACA